TAAACATTTTAGTACAGCAGAAATCATTCAATTATTATAGCACACTAGGGTTTCTTTAACTCCAGACGTGAACAAAAATTAGGAAAAGCGTCAGATGATAAATGCATCTGGAATCATATACAATTAAAATATAGAATATATACATCCATTTAATGAATTTATTCACTTGTTATTCTAACCTTTAGGTGAGAATTTAGTCCAAAATGCAATTTCCTAAATTTTTTATGAAAGCAGATTTTTACACTTTTTATTTACTGATAGCTATGCTGGCAAAGTGATTGAAATCTGCCCTAAAATAGGTCCAGCTTATAGGCTTAATGGGATTTTTTAGATACGAAGATAAACTGGGTTTTGATGGATCTCGTGAGATAACATTGCTGGAAGGACTTTCATTTCTTATTCAAGTGCAGCCTTTGAGTTGGTGTATAACGGGATTTAGCCGCCCTCTTCGGGTGAGATCGGCCTACGAATCTCTTATTCATGCACTTTCATACGAAATGAATGTCTTCTCAACAATAAGTGGGATTTATCCTACATACTTCGCCTCAGTAAATTTTGGATTATACTGTATTCAAATTCAACAGATTCTTGATAGGTACTACTCCAAACACTTTAAATTCTCTTTAAAGAAAATCCATTTCCTAAGACAGCAATAAGCGAAATGACAATTAAAAACTGTATAGCTTATACTTTTATTAAATAGCTGCCACGACCTCATTAAATGAAGAAGTCCTATATTCATGGACAGTAGATATAGATAAAATCATATATGAAAACTAAGATATTATAATTCATTGATTTAGCAGCGCCACATTCATGACCAGTTTATACTTGTATTTTAGGCTTCATAATTTTTATTGCTACTTCTACTCGAAGACTCATTCCAAATTATTTCTATCTGCTCATCAGTATGTCCTTGACATGCTGTGTGATATCTTATTTGATAACTGATTCCATTCGAACTTATCCGCTAGTATTCTTCATGTACATTGACTAATAATTTCTCTCATGGGTTATTCAGACTAAGCTACAGACTAATCTCATGGGCTCTTCTTATTCAATGCTCTAAAGTTGTATAAATACAAGACAACATTAAAAGAAGCAGCATGAGTGCGGTGTTCAAAATTATCTTAAAACATGTATCTGGCTCAAACAAGTCCTAACCAAGTCTGAAGATCAAAATAAGGCTACAATCAAAACCAAACACATACAGTTTTTTGTGAATATTGAATATAATATTTGAGTTCAAAGTGCAATTATGATGAGATTAATCTTTTATTGTAGCAATTCCTCCGTAGGACTGACTAAAAGCCTAAATGAGGCCAATGTATTTTTAAATTCTTAAAATATTGAGTTTTAATGACTATCACATCTCTTAAAAAGAATAACCTAAGGCTCAAATATTATCTATTCATAAATGAGAGATAGCTAAACCAAATAATATATACAAATTAATCACCTCACAACTATCATGTATGAATTAGTCAAGAGTGCATCCACCAGCTGATTCTAGACTAAATTAGCAAAAATTAGAATAAAATTTTAGAAATATATCCACTTAAAACATTACTAATTGAATGCACAACATCTTGTCCTTTGTTTTTAGATTTCAGCACATAAACTAATACAATCTTTAATTTTTGTCATAATCTAGCATAAGCTTAAGTTAACAGATTAAGCTTTCATTGCATCTACCTGTCCTTCTTATATTTGATCTTAAAACTTGTCGAGTATAAGGAGGATTACCCAAATTCAGGACAGATATGTAATAGGCAAGAACAAAATCAAAAGAACTTTTATAATTCTGCTTGGGGCTAAATTGAGCTAGTATTGATGAATGGCTCCAATCTTATAGCTTCTTGGCTAGGCTGACATTAAGCTTTACGTATACTGAAAATACAACCTTCTGATTCTTCTTGTACATGTAAGCAATTTCTTATCTGGGTTAGACATGATTTATGGATAAAGGAACATATTCACACTAGATGAACACTAAGTCTAGAGTACTTGTCATCTTTTAATGAAACCAGCAAACGAATCTCTTCACTATATACCTCAAAATAGAATGAAAGTTTCGACAATAAAAAAACAGATATTTTTGACATATTCGCATATAAATATTCACCAAGTGTCACTTTTTACCGAAGGTTAGCTGAATAAACAAAAATAAATTGAAGTGATCATTGTCATTCCTAACATCACACTACAACCAGGCAAATAGTTGATTGCATTGTAAATCATTTTCAGTTGCCTTTCACCAACATTGGTGCTAAGATAGGAGTGAGATTGACATTAATATAGACATGGATACTTGGCATCCTGACGTTCTAGTCTCAGATAGTCTTGGATTATATTTGCAAATTCATATCAACCTTAAGTAATATCAGTCTCTGATATTTACTTTAACCTTTTTGGAATCCTCTTAGAAAAAGTTAAGCATGTAAAGTAACTTTAAATTTCCGCCACTTATTATCACACACACATATATATATATAAACGTTGTAGCCTGATGAAAGATAGCTCGCCATCACCAATTTTATCTTAAGTCAAAATATTTGTAGATAGTTCTTGCACCCGTTTTCACTATTGCGGATAAGAGTTGACAACACTAATCTAGAAAGCTCTTATTTCATGACCTAAAGTGTATGTTTGGCAAGCCCTCTATTTGTGGCTAGTTTATTTACTCGCCATTCTATTCGCGGATGAAAGCAATTTTGGCTTCATTGCTTACATCAAGATCTGCATGCAATTCGCATTTACGAAAATGCACGCAGACAAGTACATAGGATCATAATTATAAAAGACAAAGTCTGCTTACTTAAGCTCCAGCATACTTGTGAAACAAATATAACGAAAGTATGAAGT